GGGTCGTAGGGAAACGGCAAGCAATGCGGGGGGCGGGGCAGCGGTGTAGCGATGGAGGCGGGTGGCGAGGGGGGCCGGGTCCCAGGGAACCGGGCGGCGGCGGGGCGGCGCCTAGCGCTCAGCCTTTGCAGCCTCCGCTCCCCCCACCCCGGCCGTCTGCAGGTCTGAGGGTCGCGGCATTGCACCTGGCGGCGAGGATCGGGAGGAGGAGGAGGAGACTGCCAGTATAGGCCCAGGTCGGTGCGGGGGACCGTGAGGAGGCGGGGGCGGGGGCCGAGCCCAGTCTGAGACCCCTGTCACCCACCCCCCGCCCTGTCCTCCATTTTGCTGCCTGCAAAGGCCTGGCAAAGCAGCTGCAGGAAAAATGGTGGGCTTGGGGGGAGGGAGAGGAGCGCATTGGGAGCCCCCTAGAGGGCGCTCGAGTCCTTTCAAGTGGGAAACGTGCAAAAACCAACCTTTGAATTCCAGAGCTCTGAATCCCCCTGGTTCAGTACAGAAAGTATTCATTCCCTTTTTACGTTTATCTTTTAGGATTATTTGTATTCAAAGAAAAACACCCAGGGAAAGAAAATTTCATCATGGCAAATATCCACCAGGCAAATGAAGAGATGGAGCAGGCCCCAGTGCAGAACGGAGAGGAAGCTCACCCTTTGGGAAGGGGCGAAGGCCAGCAGCCTGCAGGAAATAACCGGCGAGGACAGGCTCGCCGCCTTGCCCCTAATTTTCGGTGGGCCATACCCAATAGGCAGGTCAATGACGGGGTGGGTGGAGATGGAGAGGATATGGAAATGTTCATGGAGGAGATGAGAGAAATCAGGAGAAAACTGAGAGAGCTGCAGTTGAGGAATTGTCTGCGTATCCTAATGGGGGAGCTCTCTAATCACCATGACCATCATGATGAATTCTGCCTTATGCCTTGACTGCTGCCATTTTCTATGAAATGAATACTGTGATTCTTGCTGTTTTGTTTTCCTTCTTTGCATTTTCCTAATATATCTTTGCTGATCCGTTTGCTGTAAACTTTGTATTATTTCTATGTGTTGAACCCAAACCAAGACCACCCCCTTGCAGTGGAGGCGATTCTGACTCATGGACCCTGTAGGACAGAGTAGAACTGTCCCATAGGGTTTCCAAGGTTATAAATCTTCACAGAAGCAGACTGGCCCATCTTTGTCCTTCAGAGGGAGTGGCTGGTGGTGGTCATGAAAGTTTGACCTTTTGGGTTAACCTTAACCACTGTGTCACCAGGATCCTTTCTATGTGTTAGCTAGGTCTTACGTTGTTACCAGCTTCTAAATGAAGATTACCTTTGCACCCAGTCTAAGTTTCTGTCAGCAGTCCAGTTTCACCCTTATGCATGGAAAGATGTAAAGTTAATAAAGCAATTTAAAAGCTATCTGTATACTTAGGATTGTCTCATTAAAAAACATATAAACTTACACGTAACATTTGAACCCCCTCAAAATCTGAAATGAAATACGCCAGAGTGTTAACTGGGGACCATTTCTGAATGGTGGGATAATATGTGAGTTGTTTTCTTTTATTATCTGGAACTTGAGAAACAATGAAAATGATTTTTCAGTGAGTCTGTGGATACCGCATAGGCACATAATAAATACCAGTTCAACAAACTTAAGAAAGAAGGGTAAGCCTTAAATATCTTCCAGTCTTTTTACCTGGAGGAATTAAACTTTTCCTTTATTACAGATATATTTCTTTAAAGGGCTAGTTTTCTCTTCTGAGAAATGGAGAACATTTGCCTAATAAGGCTGCTGAATGGAACAGACAAGGGATGGAACTGTTAGACCGGCTCCTATTGCACTCCCCAGCATTTGACAGCACCCTCCTGGCCCCTGTCAGGTACTTGAGGAGGGTGAGAGGGAGTTTGCACTGATGTTCAAAAGTCTAAACCCAGGGGAGAGTTACAGGGTAGGGAGGGGAGGAGATTGGGTTAGGGTTGGACATGGTGAATGGGAATGAAACTAAATGTACACATTACATTGAATGCAAAACAAGCTCTTAAAATAAAAATAAAATAATAATAAAAAGAAGTCTAAACCCAAATACTAATTATTGCTTTGTCAGTTGGGCATCCTTCCCTTTCTGCTGGATCCTGTTCTCTCTGCTTACAGTTGCTGATGTGCTGGAGTCCTGAAGGTAATCAACCCTCTAATTTCTGTGGAATCCTTGTCAAGCCAATCTCCCTTTGGCCCATATACAAGTGTAAAGAATACCCCCCCCCTTAGAAGATATTTATCGAAATATGTACTATTCCAATGGTTTGGGGGCTTACATCTGTTCTTAGGAAAATAGTCCTTTCTGTTTTTATTTTCATGTTCCACTTCTTCAAAGAACTCAGAGAGGAATAATACACTGGGGCCTAGCTCCAGAGACAAACTTAGGCATCAGCAACCACAGTGTGTTCAGAATTACACTATTGCAGACCTCCCAAACACAAACAGTCCAAAGGTTTTGCTTTGGCCAGTCTTTATACCACTGGGATGATTTTAATCAAGAAGACTCTTGGCCGGCTGCTCAACCAATGTGACAAAGTTACCCAGACATATACATTACATTCCCCAAAAAACAAACTCACTGCCATCAAGTTGGATGTTACTCATAGTGACCCCTCCTTCGGTTTCTGAGGCGGTATCACTACAGAAGTAGATTACCCAACCTTCCTTCTGAGGAGTGGCTGGTGGGTTTGAATCGCCAGGCTTCTGGTTCGCAGTCAAGTGCCTTAGGCACTACACTACCAGAGTTCCTATACGTTACATTAGGGGACACATTTTTAGCTAAAACTGAAACACATTCCTCATCTCCATGGCATCCTTACCTGAAACAAGATAAATTGCAATGTTAGACCTTATCTATAATAAATGTTATTGTTGTTAGGTGCCGTCAGGTCAGTTGTGGCTCATAGCCATCGATGTCCAACAGAAGGAAACATTGTACTCTCCTGCAATATTCTCACAATCACTGCTGTTTGATCCTATTGTTGCAGCCACTGTGTCAATCCACCTCACTGAATGTCTTTCTCTTTTTTGCTGAGTCTACCAAGCACAATGTCCTTGTCCAAGGGACTGGTCCCTCCTGATAGCACGTCCAACACATGTGAGATGATGAAAACATCAGATGGGGGTCAATGAACAGGATTATACTCTAGACCAAGGATTGATTCAGCTGAGGCTAATCTTGCACAGATACCAGTGATATAAAAACAAGAACAACAGAAGACAGACATAGAGAAATCCCTCACAGATAGCCAGACACTGTGGGAGAGAGATCCAACAGATCTACTGACTCAGAACAATAGTATTGGGGGACACCAGACACCAGACTCAATTGGCACAGCAAAATACTTAAAATCTTGTTCCACAACCTACATTGGTGAGTAGCAACTGGGGTGTTAAAAATTTTCAAGCAGCCATCTAAGATGCAGCTAATGGTCTCTTATAGTCGGAAGTGAAGAAGAGTGCAAAAAACCAAGGACATTTGGAAGCAATTGGCCCTAGGACATGATGGACCTTGAGACCAGAAGAACTAGATTGTACCTGGCTACCAATGCCAACCACATGGGAAGGGATCAAAACAGGAGATCGTGGATAGAGTGGGAGGAAAAACATGGAACAAAATCCAAAAACACAATAATGACCAGAATAACTGGTCAGATGGAGTCTGGTGGAACCCCCAATACTATGGCCCTGGGATACACTTAGGGCCTGGAATAAAACTCACTTCCAGGGGCTGGCTCTCAGCCCAATAGTAAATAAGATGTACACGTAGACCACTCAACCCAGGGTGACACACCCACATACTCTGGAGATG